TACAGTAAATTCTCCCTAATTTTCCTTCAGCTTGTGAACAAAAATGGGCAATTTGGTAAGAGGAGATACGATTATTGGTGTCTCGCGGCTCATTTTTATGATTGCTATAAAATTTCATAGTTGCTTATATAATTCTTCATTTTTGTTTACAAGCTGAAGGAAAATTAGGGAAAAATTACTGTATTAGGAAATCTTTCTTCTACGGAAACGAGGAACGAAAAAGTTCCTAAAACCGGATGATGAAAGATCAAAGGTTCCTGAACAATCTCAACGATTGAACAGGAAAATGGTAGCAAGACCAGAAGAAGATCGATCGAACGATTCGAGATTGATGCGACGAGCGATCGATTCAAATCTCCCGCGTGTGAATGAAAAAGCAATGATGTAGCAAGCGAACAAGATATAGTACGTTAATTAATACTCACGAGATCCAGAGGACGCGAAGGCGAGTTGAGTCACGCCGATCGATCACCGGTTATCGAATTGGTTCCCGATCACCTTGGGACACTTTCTTATCGACGACCAGTGAAATCTTCTCGATATGGAGACGCGTGGGCGTGCGGCACGGTCCCGCGGGCCCCGGTATGGCCACCACGGAAATTCCGACAAGTGCGTAATGGTAATCGGCAACTTTCTTCGACGAGCATGACGCATGCGACGCTTCCGCTAGCACAGATTTACCAGGAGGAAAAGATCGACGGCCTGAGGCACGCGCGTAGATCGTTTCGGGCGAGGGCAGCTGACCGACTGACCCGAAATCCAAGGGCACCGACCACCTCCTCCGCCCGTTTGTGTATCATTTCACGGTCGATTTTCACTCGCCACGGCCGTCAACCTCGTACGCCACACGAAGAAAGTAAATGCCCCGACTGGAAAAAATGGCTTACGGTGGTTGCCAATAGGCTGCGAGTCCTGCGGATCGATAGCGCTCTTCGTTAGGGGTCGATTGTTCCTCGAGGACTCCAGGAATGCTCGCGGCGACTTTATCGGCAGGCTCGATCGATTTCCAAGGTAGATCGACTGTCGATCTTCCTCCGTTCGTTCTGCAAAAATCATTATCATCCAATATTTTCGAAACCTGTTTTATGTATTTATAGCTGAAATGAGCAGCGGAGTACAAAATAGTGGAAACATTTAAAGAATTTTGGAAAATGCAGCAAATTCTCCACAATTTGATAAGAAGCTTCTCCTGTCATTCTCGAAGTTCCAACAGATCGCTTCTTCCACCGAGCATTAAAAGAAGCACAAAAAGGGATGCGAGAAGCTCGCGAGAACCTTGAAGAAATTAGGCTGGCGCATCGACCGACCCGACGTGTCCCGAAATGATCGCAACGCCATTCAGGTATCCCAAACCAGTTCATTCATCTGGCGAGCTAAAATCCTCCGTCGAGAAATTCATGCGGCAGCGTTCGAGGCCGTCGGGGGTCAGGAAACGGCTGCAACGAAAACAACGACAGCGCAACATTAACATCTGACCGTGGTCGGTGCGTCGTTAATAACGTTTCGCCGATGTTGACCGGCGAACGCACAGGTGCGCTTGATCTAGGCGAAGGTAGCTCTCGGGTCAGGTATGTCGATTTAATCGCCGCGGCTGAGAGGAACCTTGGAATGCGAGGGTTTAAGTCCCCGAGACGGACGGAGGGAGAAAGGCGGGAAAAGAGAACGAGCAGGAAGAAGAAGAAAACGATGAAGAAGAAGACGAGGTTGCGAGGCGTCTTAGAGGGAAACGGGCTGTTACATTAGGCTATGACTGTGACCCACTTTTCGCTGAGGCAACTAGCTCATACATCGAAACGTAACGGTACCGGGATGCTTCGGCTTGGCTGACATCAATTCGTTCCTCGATAACGCCCCGCTACGTGCATTATTTGCGGCCGCTAATCGGCCGGATTAATCGGCAGTCGCCGGGCTACAGGTAATGCCGGGTCATCGGTTATTAATGGAGACGATATCATAATCTCGCCTGCTGTCGATCCACAGTGCTCATATTCGATTCTCTAGAAATTACGATATCGAATCTTTTTAAGTAATATGTTTACGGCTCTTTTTTTATCAGGTATGTATTATTGTCGATTGTATCAGAATCTAGATGTATTCCATTTTTATTGACTCGGAGCATTTACAGCCAATTCTCCCGTGGAATTATAGGTAAATTTGCGGACGATGGTGCGAGGAGTAACTTATACGGTTCCATTATATAGATCATTGTACATATTATAGTATAATAACTAGCGTGCGATCGTCGTTATATTTGCGATAATGTTAGATTTGCTTGGTCAATCTGTTTGTTAGGTTTAAGGGGTCACACCTTTTTAATCTAAAACTGCTAGTTTCGATGCGAATTAATTCAATAGCTAACGAATTTCTATGTTGTGATAACTAAACCGTGGATTTTATGCATTTATGACAAAAATGAGCAGATGAAATTCAAAACACTGAAGACGCATTTAAACAATTTCAAGAATATATAGAGCAAGTATATCGTACTTGCACTATTAAAACAGTGAAAATATTGATAAATTGACCTCTTGATACCTCGACAAATCAAAACGACAACAGCGCGCGATTCGTCGAAATTCCAGAGTCTCTCGATCACTATCGATCTACCGAAAGAGCCTCGGAATCAACGAGCTACGAAATTTGGGTAAAACAGGTCGATCGGCGCTCGGTTCACGGCTCATTTCTCGCTCGTTATTTTCCGTAGAAACACATAACTGTACCGGTGGGGCACATGAATCATTGCCGAAGCAGCCTCTCTCGCCATTCCGTTAGCCGTCTTTGATATTCCCGCGTTTTTGTCCACGACCGACGACGCGTCCCCCTTTCGAGCACACTCGAATTCTGCTCGTGGTACTCGCTATCTAATCGGCGATGCGGTGACTAGTGCCATTGAAATGTGTCCTTCATACCGGGTTAATTGTTCCGACGAAATAGGAAAGAAGCAAGAACGATGGATCATATTAAAAAAGAACCTGGAATTTCTCATTCGAAAGTCTCGCACACAATTGTTTGCATCTAAGCAGGCACCACCGTACTCGGTTATTGAGACTCTTTAGATTTCTTCTGCAACTCACTTTTCGACTTCGAAAACACGCTGTCACGAATGTGACACGACAGACCTAATCTTTCTGTAACTCATTCTGTAATTTTCTGTAACGTTCATTTTCATCTTCTTTCATAATATTATTTAATCGTCAACTACGACCCTTAAGCACCAAATAAATGATAATAATAGAAATAGAAACGTCGAACTTTCTCAGTAAAAATCCAAAGCAGCCTCTGCTTCCGCAATCCAATTAGAAGAACGTGGACATTATGCAATTGTCGAGAGTCAACGTGCACACGACGATCTTGTTATGTCATTTCGTCTCGAAGAAAATTTCTAAACGACATTTTCTCACGGAAACTAAATAAGCAGAAATATGTAGTTGGAAACCCAGGAACATGATCTCGCGGAGATAAGGGACACGCAGCTTCCCTCTATGCAATAATTAATAGATGTATCCTCTATTATGCTATTCGCCAGCACCATTAAGAGTAATTAGCAACGTCGATCCGAGCTCGAGAGGAATTAGGAGCTGACAATTGTTTCTCGGTTGCCGTTAGCCTAAGAGATCGGGGATGATCCCTTCGATCATCTTTCAGATGTTCACCTCTCATCGATGACATTTTTCGCAGCTGCCGTTTATTCTGCGGTATTAAATTTTTTATCGCTCAATGCGCAATGCAATGATCTTGGAGGATCATGTTGCTATCGTTTATTGTCAGAACAAGTTAAGAGTGTAAGTGGCAATCATGGTTTCGCGTTTTATTGGAGGTAATCGGCAATAATCTTTAAACACCTCGATTACTGAAATCGAAGTGCAAAGTGCATTTAGAAAATGCTTTATTATTTAATTATCGTTATCGCATAGACACTTGTTAAATTAAATGTGCATTTTATGTATTTCATTGACTGATCGATGGCTGTAGATATTACTGTACCGTTCAGAAAATTATATATCGCTGGAGAACTTCTAATACATTCTATAAGAGACAGATTGCATTGTAAAATAATCGATGTCTCCAAATAAGATTGCATCGCATAAAAATCAAATTACATTGTAGATGCATTGCAATCGATGTTCCCGAATATTTCTATATTATCCCGAAAATTATATCTATCGTGTCAGACCCTCTAATGCTTCAAGCAATGGACAGGTTCGATTGCAGAAGCATCGTAACTGGAAAAATGACGCCTTACACCTTTCGTGATTTTTCGACGACACCTGTTCGCACGCGTAAACGTCTTCTTGTTCGACAGGCACCGGGAGGAACATCAGGAACTTGCCGTGCGTGTCACGGCGAACCGGCGAGACCGGCGTTTGCATGTTCGCGTTCACATGCGCGAAGGCGAACGGCACCCATCTCGGCACCTGTATCGACCGATTCTACTTCGGCAGTTGCTGCAAGATCGACGAGGAGCCGGACATATTCCCGCAGGACAATAGCATCGACGACGGGTCCCCGGCGAGGCCGTTCGTCACGACCGTTGGGCCCATTGAGAGCAACGACATACCAGAGTACTTCTCAAGGCCGAAGCCGATCGCCGAGAAGAAACCGCCTGCAACGCAGCCCGTCGAGGTGAGCGCCGATTTCTCATGCTTCTACACGAAACGTGAACTTCGTGTCTAAATTTCGTCTTTACAGTCAATTCGTTGCATGTCATTGCAGTCGCTGCAACGAACTTCGACCGAGCCGGTCGAAAAGACCGGTTTTACGTTTCTTGTTTTAAACGATTTGCAGACAATGATTGAATAAATTTGTGGTCTAAATGAATATGCATATTCTCTTCGTCGTTATAAACCAGACATATGATTACTTTAACGCTGGAACTACCGAACCAGTCAATGTGACTGGTTTTTGATTTTTACTTTGACAGTACCTGATATTGTAAAAATATTTCTAGGAGAAATATTCAGGTACACACTTCTTTATTGAAGTATACATTATAATATAAATCATATAAAGGTTAAATAGATCCAGTCTTGATATTGTTAGAAAACGATATGTGTACCTACATTATTAAGGGCTCGGTAGGTTCAGTGTTAACACTGCAGACTTGCCGGATTTCCTGAGACGATGGTTCGATGGTCGATCAGTCAATCTTAACGAGATAAATTACACGGTATCATAAGTTATTTATGCGCGAGGGGGAGTCTTGTCGTCGAGCCTCTCTTCAAGCTGAAATGAGATCGACGACATCAGAAGTTATAATCTTGAAAGAGAAATATTTTCCCAGCACGCGAAAATTGCGTCGTAACAGAGAGACGTAGACATCGAACAGACGGTATCCGAAATGCTGTAGAAAAGGTCTGGCACTGTTCGAAACCCCGACGTTTTTTGTTCCTCCTGCTTGAAAGATCCTGGGTCCCGCAAGAGATCAAAGGGGACGCAAAGGCGTAGTCCGCCGCCCGGAAACCCGTGAATTTTTATGGGACCGTAAAAGCAACTGTATTCTTCGTTTTTGCGAATGCTTGCAGACGACGACCGGCAGCTACAGCGTCCAGAGCACTCAGGCTCCCACGACGCTGGTAAGGGAGACGACGAAGCCGTCTACTAAGAGGCCGACGCTCACGACGACCGTCGAAACGACCACGCAACCGGTTCGGTTATCGACCTTCCAAACTGTGCAGAATTCCACGGTCGAGGATTCGACCGCGGAAACGCCGATCACGGTTCCACCGCAGCAAAAAACCACGGTCACGATCGAGACCACGAGCAAGCCGTCCAGCACCCAGACCGCCGCGATCACGCGGAGACCAACGACGTCGGAGACCGTGACGAAATCGCCGTCCACGGTGCCGCAGACGACCAAGCCGTCCACGAAGAAGCCGATCCACTCGTCCTCGTCCCATAAACCACCTGCGAGCCATAAGCCCGGCCACACGACTGTCCATAAAGCTCCGGAAACGACCACGGTTAAACCTATCCAGACCACCATAACGGAGAGGGCGACGGAAACGACGACGCCGAAGCCTGTGGTCACTACCACGACTCAGAGGATCGTGCCAGCGACCCGGTTCCCGCCTAGGAATGCTACCACCGTGAAACCGACTACTCAATCCAACACCAGGAGACCCATCAGCAGCACCAAGAAACCGACCGTGGCTACCAGCACGAAGAAACCGACTACTACCACCACGAGGAAGCCCGCTTCTCCCGCGAAGAGACCCACCACGAAACCTTCTAGCTCCAGCATTGCTACCACAGTCCCTGTTACCACGCCCAAACCGCCAACAACGACTCCCAAGGATCAGCCGACCATAGCAACCACTGGCGCCAGCGTCTCGTCTACGAAACCCACGTCCACCTTCTCATCGACACCATCTTCGAAGCCTACCACACCTGTCACCAAGCCGACTATCCATAAGCACAAGCCCACCACCGTCAGGACAACCACCCCGAAGCCCACGGTGGCTACCACCAAACCAACCACGCTGCTTACCAAACCTTCGACCGCTGCCACGAGGCCGAAACCGACGAAGACAGTTGTAACTACCACCCCGAAGATTGTGACCAAGCCGGAATCGACCAGTACCACCGAGAAACCGGTGCCTCTGTCCACGATCGAGGCTACCACGGTCCCCGTTACGAAAGTTAGGCCGACACCGGAGACCACGAAACCTACCAAAGTGTCCAGTAGACCTGTTACCAGGCCCATAACGACCACTCAGCCGACCGTAGTCAGCAGTACCGTGACACAGACCAGTTCTACCACTGTGCTGGACACCACCACCGGTGCTACCAGTAAGATACCGGTTCAGGGTGTCGGTCAGACCCTGGAGGACACTACCCAGACCACGCCGATGGTTGGTGGTCTTGTTACGTGGACGTCCAGCTCCGACGACGCTACCACTAGAACGCCGGAGATCTCTTCGACTGCGACCACCCAGATCGGTAAGTTGAGGATTCAGGAGATACCTGGTCGGAGAGAGGTCACCAAAGAGACGCAGGAGAGTTTAGGACTTCTCGAACAAACTAGATTGGCGAGCTGTGACCAAAGTTTGTTTAGATCGCCTGTCCAGTTTGTTCGACAACGAGAGCTTCGCTCTCTGTTATTTATGTGAATTAATGCTATTGAATGACAACCTCTCGGTGTAAACAACGAATTTACAATTTTGCGCAAAATCGAGCTTAGTAGAACTTGAGGTCGGAGTGAGATCTGAAAATTGTGATGAAGAAGCTTCTTGATTGTAAACGAGACACAATGGAACGAAATACTTTTATCGTATTGCTGCCAAGGATGAAGTCGCATTAAACGACAATAATTAATGTCGAAAACAGCGGAAGGCAGAGATTAGGTCGAATTTATTAGCGTCGATCGATCAACGATAAATTATTTCGGACTAAGACGAGATTCGGTTGTTCAACGTGGGAATTATTCGCGACCTTGGTCGCCGATTATTGCGACGTTGCGCGCTCTGGTGTCACCGGATCAACACTTAATCGAGAAATTTGAATTTATATCGGTCCCGATGCTTAATCGAGAGCGATTAATACACACGCGCGCGCGCGCGCGCGAGGCCCGTCTCCCATTTGCATTTCCCATTCGCATGCTAAACGCTAAACCGTACGGAGCGGTGAAATCGAAGAAAACGGATACCCATTGTGTAACGTGACGGTTTTGTCGTCAATAGGAAATCATCACGTCGGCAATCCACGTCGCGGAGCACGCCTGCTGCATTAACCAGCGCCGGCAGGGACCCGCGAAAGCTCCGTTCAATTTGATTGATTGTGAACGGTTCCGCCGAACCCGCGCTTTCACCCGTTACTTTTCTCCCCGGAATTCCACGCGAAAAATCAAAAAGAAAAACGCGCAGCGCGTCGCCTGACACGCTTTCGTCTGATTGTCCACGACCTGCGGAAACGGCTCCGACAAACTGCAATAATCCTATCCTGCCGCTATCTCAGCCATTCGGCCGCGAATCTTCGACGATACAGGGCAATCGAAAATACGCGATACGAGAAACGTTGGGGCAATTCGTGATTTGGAAACAGAACAATTGAAATTACATGATACGAGAAACCTGAATGCAATTCAGAATTTGCGAACATTCTCTTGGGGTCGTGTTTTGTTCTATGCAAGTTGCAATACTTTCGAATTTTCGATCAAATGGAACTCGCGCAATCTTTTTGAATGGCGCTGTAGCCAGACCGACCCAATCGCCATGGAATACCGCAATTTCTCGTGACAGGCACGCCATCGGTAATGAGCATTTAATCTCGAAATAGATCGACCGCGGCTCGATAACAAAGAGACACCGCCGAAGACCTCGTTATTTTCACTGCTCCGCCGCAATTTCCGCGTGTGACACACGAAAACCGACGCGCGGGTACGTCGCTGCGTTTTAATCCGGATCAGTCGGTGTCACCGGGACTATCCTTGAACGAGCATAATCTCGTTCTCTCCGTCTTCCCCGGTTGCGCACGTGCACCGACGGGGCACCCGTGAAACGAAATAATTGCGGGCGAGTGTTAATCGAGCACCAAAACGGGGCTCTCGCTCGATCGGCGAACGGAAAAAGGTCCCGATCCCGAGATGAGATTCTGTTGCGAAGGAACGATTGTAACGGTTCGAACCGTCGGTTCACCGTAATCTTTCCTCTCGAACGGGCCCCAAGCTCGCGCGCGTTCACTTCGCGTTGCTCTCTACTCCCCGTCCTTCCTCTCCAGTAATTCAAACGACACGAATTAGTTTCCGATAACTGCACTTCGCTCCAGTTTTCGCGGCTTTCCTCTTTTTCAGTCCGCGCGCCGCGATCCCGTGACTTTGTTTCGGTGAAAATTCCAGATAAAACTGCAGCCGTTCCGTTTCAAGAAATTCGGAGAAGTTCCGATCATTCTTTACTTCCTCCGAGCTGTAACTATTGATAGGGCAGTGGAACCGGTTACTTAATTGCCGTGCCTTTCGTTCATTTTCGGCCAGAATTGCCTTCATATTTATCGAAGAAGACGTGTCGAATCTTCTTATTTTGTTTGTTCTTTTATTAAATAATTGAATACGTCTCATTCGATAAATATAAAGTTTATTAAGCTCACCAATCTTTATTACAACACTGTCGTACATAATTATGCACTATCGTACGCAAGCATAATTATGCAACTTATGTAGAAATCTAGTCTCAAAGTTTTTGTCTAAAATCCACACGACGAGCTGCAGCTGATTAATTTTTCTTGAAAAAATGGAGGTTAGCAGCGTATCGGTTTGATCCCTGATGAAGACCGGCTGTTAGATTTACTATGAAAGCATGTACCGTTCAAATATTGATCCTTTCACGCGCACTCCAGATCAAACCGAGAGCGAGTGGACACCGATCACCACACCGGACGGCTGGATCATGATCCAATCGCCCACCACCAAGAAATCCGAGATCTCGGAGGACACCACCACGATCAAACCCACCCCCGAGTCCACGTTGCAGCCTACTACGTCTGGTAAAATTCACACTCATTTAGCAGTCATTTCTTAATAATTATTTATATATTTTTTATTTGCTCGTTTAATTTCGTCTTGGCCTCCAATTATTCGACAAATCTTGATGTTTGATCATACATTTTAGTTTCCACTAAAATTGCAATTTGACCAGTTAGCTGCTGCAACCTCGTCGACAATTTTAATCATACCATACACGTTCGATCTTCTTTGTGTATTATTTAAATACAACACTTCTATAAAATACACCATTTAATAAATATCGAAGTATCCGTAGATCCTTTTTAATCAGTTAGCCGTTCTTGGCGAGTATTCTCGCCACGAAGAAATGGCAACATGGCGCGTTACGTGTGTACTCGTTGGAACCAGCTAACCGGTTAAATTGGTGCTTCACCTTTGAACCCTGTTAAAGAGCTTGACAAAATTCTGATCGAGGATGACGGATCGTCTAATCAGAAAAAAGAATCTTCCCGAATCGACCCGAATCTGTGTCTTTATCGGATTGAGCAAGCTGTTTGCGTACTTCGCAGGCAAACCCGCAGCTGACACGACGACGGAATCCGTGACGAAGAGGCCGACGATATTGACGACCCTCTCCACGATCGCCAGCGTGACGATAGACACGGAGCTGCCGGTGCCGATGGAGACCCTAAACATGTCCGATTACAAGCAAGGTGAGCTTTGGAAAATGATCTGCTAGCAGACGGTGCAGGCCGACGCTCGATAAGATCAGTGTGATCGCGGCAAATTCGCCGCATCCGACAGCGATTCGCGGCTGATCCAACGAAACAAGAATCCGTCGTCGATAATACAGAGATCTGATCGTGGTGACGGAAACGTGCTGCGCGTGGCGATCGCGGAGATAATGTCGATCATCAGGCTGTTACGTAAAGGAAGCGAATCTTTCGTCATCGGATCGATAATCCGACGGTGATTTTTATGCGATCGCGAATGACCGTTCGAGAAGCCGAGAAATATTTGTCAAAGTTCGTTAGGGAATAGTAATCGCGGTCGAAGAACGAGGGAGAAAAGGAAAGATAGCGCGCGCTTTGGTTCGCGAATTGGAGGATTCGTTCTCCGACATGGCCGTCGCGTGGAGATTAGAGAATCTCTCGAGGAGCTTGAACTCAACGATGCTTATCCTTGCAGTATGCGGGAGGAGGCTGTTTCCGGAGTCGAGAATTGTCGGCGGCAGTCGGAGCTCGTTCGCGAAATGGCCCTGGCAGGTGAGTAATTCGATCGACAATTAGTCAGAGAATGATTTGTCATCAATAGACAGCGGATTTTATGCATTTACGGCAAAATTGTCGGTGACTGAAACAGAACGTAATTTCATTACGTTACTCTCTTTCAGTTATCGAAATTATCAAACAATTTATTTTTATCTCATTTCTCTTTCTTTCAGTCGGCTTTGAATTTCTTTATTCTTCATGAAGGTCCACAGCCTAGTCATTGAACCTCGAACCTTGAAAACCGAGCCAAGTGCAATAGTTTTTCTTCTTTAAATAGTTTTAACAAGTCGGAATTAATAGATAGAATGCATAAAATCCACAGTCTAGTCATCGAGTATGTAGATGCCAATATTTTCAATCTCTTTCCTTACTAATCTAGATTTATATTACCTATGCAGATCCAGATTTGTTGGGTCGTTGGGAAATAATTTCAAAACTATTTCCCTTCGCAAGGGTGTTAGAGAAACACTTGATTCGGTACTTCGCCAATAAGAAAAGGAGTTCTACCAGCATAAAATTTCAAAGCTATCAGAAAAATGTCCAAAAGCAGAGTACATTATTGAATACATCGTTAAATAACATTACTTTCCGAACGGCCGATAGTTCAATGGAATCTGCGCTAATGTCACAGCAAAGTCGCCAACGTTAAAATTTCGAATCTAGTGAGTTCTAGTGAATTCCGCGGAGTTCTGTCGCTGAAAAGTTTGCACAGAGAATCGCGTGGCAGCCCAGGAAACGCGTCGCCTCGCCAGCGAAGCTCGGCATCGTAGTTCGTTAACGGAGATGAGTGTTTTCTTTTCAGATCTCGTTACGACAATGGAGAACGTCCACGTATCTGCACAAGTGCGGCGCAGCTTTGCTCAACGAGAATTGGGCCATAACCGCGGCGCATTGTGTCGAGAAGTGAGTAAGATCGTGTTTGTCATCGCGATGATTCTCGATCGATGCGTCTCTCTCCTCGAGACAATCCTATTATTAATTCCGGGAACGCGTCGCCTGCGGCGCCTTGAATCGGAGAACGACCGTCGGCAGCATTATCTTTGACGTTCGAACGCGGCGCATTTTCCTCGGCGAACCTAATTCCTTCGACGTCCAATAACCGCGCGGCAAAACATCCAGATCTGTACCGAGTTTTAATCCGCCGCGTTTGGTCATCGCGTAATGAAACGAAGGCTATTTCAGTTCTCTCATTATTCGCCGGTGTTTATATGAGCATCGATGAAAAACAAAGACGCGAAACAAAGGATTCCTTCCGACGTCGTTTGCGAGGAGGGACGAATCGAACTTCGGTAGACCGGCTGGGCAAGAAATAGACCGCGGATATTTATGCACAGTTAAAAGTGTCTGTAATTGTTCGGTAAAAAATATATTCCTTCTTTCAATAGCTTTAATACAGCAACGCGACAGTATTTTTAAATCCTTTAATGTCTTCGCAATTCTGAATTTAATCCAACCACTTCTGCAGTCCGGTAATAATTTCATTTCATTTATTTAACCGCCATATTCCCCTTTAATTTTTCTACAAAAATTCGATCGGAATATCAATGACGATAGAATGAAAATAAGAGAATGAAGATAAAAACAATACGACCGTGATATACGAAGCAAATACGAACCGAACATCCTAGCTTCTGATAAAATTATATATATATATAGTTGATTTTGAAGTAATAATCAATTTTGGCGATAACTTCGCGCATGATCGATACAGAATTTAACATTTCCTGTCGATAATATATTTAACGTTATCTCGAAATCGAGATAAGAATAGCTCTCAACAATCAATGGAACTTTTCTGTTCTGGTCTCGACTATATCGGCAATTATTTTCCAAATGCAGATTAATTATTTAAGAACAATGTTCCCAGCGTGCCGCCCAGCGATCTCCTCCTAAGAATCGGCGAGCACGATCTGGCGAACGAAGACGAGCCCTACGGCTACCAAGAGCGAAGGGTGCAGATCGTTGCGAGCCACCCGCAATTCGATCCCCGCACCTTCGAATACGATCTCGCGCTGTTACGATTCTACGAACCTCTGCTGCCGTTCCAACCGAACGTGTTACCGATTTGCCTACCGGATGACGACGAGAGCTACGTCGGTCGGACCGCCTATGTCACCGGCTGGGGTCGTCTCTATGACGGTACTTTCAGTTATTCCCATGTTTTCTCCCGGCACTGGAATCGTCCACTGATTTGCAATCTTATTTCCAGAGGGACCGCTGCCCTCTACGCTGCAAGAAGTCGCAGTACCTGTGATTAACAACACGATGTGCGAAGGCATGTACAGGAACGCTGGGTACATCGAGCACATCCCCCACATCTTTATCTGCGCGGGCTGGAAGAACGGCGGCTTCGATTCGTGCGAGGTATGTATTGTCTGTTATCTAGACTCTGGGGTTCAGAGTCTACACGGAATTATCTGATGGAATAGTCTTCCGGAACGAGTGACGCACGAAAGAGGGTTCGAGTATACAGTAAATTCTCCCTAATTTTTCTTCAGCTTGTGTCCGCATTCCTTAACGTCTTAGGACCTTCAGATAAATGTATCCGCAGTCCTCAATGCCAGAACACTTTCTGAAAAATATGTTTCTGGTCCTCGATATTCCAAGATGTTTAGAAAAATATATCTACCCCCTGCGGTGTCTTGAGATCTTCGAAAAAATTTTGTCCATACTCCTGAATATCCGAGCACCCTCAGAAAAATATGTCTACACTTTCCAGTGTTTTGATACATGCAATCCAGTGCAATAATCGTCACTATCCCCTTAGAATAATGCATCTTCTTCTTCGATCAATCCTGAACGATGAAACCCGGAAAGAACCGGGTATCTAAACGAATTCTCCGTCCTTCAGGGTGACAGTGGAGGACCAATGGTGATCCAGAGGGCACGCGACAAGCGATGGATCCTCGCAGGAGTGATTAGCTGGGGGATCGGATGCGCGGTGCCGAACCAGCCAGGCGTGTACACCCGAATCTCCGAGTTCCGCGAATGGATCAATCAAATCCTGCAATTCTAAGGATCGGATGGACCGATCGGGACGACGATTTTTTTAAATCGCTACTGAAAAGGCTGCCAGCTTTAGCGGGCGGATCGGTGTACATAATATATTATATACAGATCGCCGTAATCGTTATCAAACTCCGTTGATGTTCCACGTGTGCAATAGTTCCCGCGGCCGATTAGGCCGTTCGGGGACCTGGAGCGATTCATGTATATGGTATACGTACCGTGGAGATCAGGAAGCTTTGTGTTATCAGTGGCTTATCAATCGAGCGAGGCGCGCGAACTTGCTGCCCGGTTATCAATGCCATCTCACGCTCGCGCTTCAACCTCGTTGCGATCGTGCAACTAGTCGACACGCCAGTGCTCTGCGGTGTGAACAGTGCTTGAACGATTAGAAACGCTATGGCTGTGTGTTATCGGCGGGCTCCGCGGCTTGTTACCTAGTGAAAACGCGAGATCCAACCGACTGTCGATAACCCTGCGTGGCTATCCGACGAATCGTCCTGACGACGAAGGGATGCTAGTTGAACGTCGTCACAGGGTCCGTGGAATTCCGGATCGCGAGATCCTTTTTTTCTACGTGAATCGACCACGATTTATCAAACGTCGACGATTTTTGGTACCATTCTAGCTCAACGTCTTCCACCCTGTCGGCTACAAACAGCCGACCATCGCTCATTTCGAAGCGTTCTCGTGTCGTTTCGAGTCCGTAGAATTCGAACTGTAACAGCATCTTTATGGAAAATTAATTCCCTGTGAAGCAGACACCCTTTAGTTCATCAGGGTGTAAATCCTGTGTTCGAGATGACAATACTTCTACGAGTTACAAAAATGTAAAATTAAACAACTTTCTTTTGTTTCTCTCAGAAGGTCGCACAAATTTCCGTGTTTCTGCGCGATTTTATTATTTTTAAAGCTGTCGCAATCGCGCGAACAATCGGGTCGATAACGCGAAATTCGTTTCAGCCGAGCAGAATCGAGATAAAGACGACCGCAGATTCGATAACGAACACGAGAACGCTGTCGCGCCCGATCCCCCGGTGTCGATTACGAAATTATCGGATCGGAAACAGTGGGACGGGTATTTGGCGCCGGTTATTGCAGATGCGCCAGGATTTCCCACGAATTTTCCCGGCGATTTTTACAGCGATCACGAGCGACGGACAGAGCTGCGGTCGATCGGCATCGGCCCCGTGCGAATTCGCTCGGGGAATCGCGGTTAGTCAATAATGAACGACCGCCGGGCGAAAACTCTGGCATTTCGACGCAGATGGCCGAGCATTCTAATCACCGGACTGTGGATTGTATGCCAAAAAACAGCGGAAGCATCGGTACATTTATTGGAGCTGTTGTTAATTCTCGTACGATCCTCGGAAATAGTGCAGAAACGATCGTTGGGTAATGTTTAATAATACTTTCCTGAAATTGTTCCTTATTTTAATATTTTACACGTTGATCAGGGTATTGAAGAAACATTGAGAAACAAAGAATTTTTATACAAGTCTCAGCCATTAACCCCTTGCACTAAAATTAGAGATTTTATGCACTTGTGAGAAAAATGAAAAAAATACTATTATATTATATATTTTCAACTTGCCAAATTTATTAACAGGGGAAATATATTTTCACTCGACTTTTGTTCATTGCGATCGGGATAGACAATTTTTATTTTGCGCTAACGACCATTGTCTAACTGTAACAACGAGTTAGACTTGTGACAAAGATTTCATAGATAATTTAATAAATATTAATGTTATTTATAAGTCGAACTCGTCAAAGTACGGCAAGGGGTTAATATCGAGGGGAGTACGAGTGTCGGAAGAAGAAAGCGCAAATGCTGAAAATTCTGTTTATGCACGAGGAGCCGCAGACCGCCTCGTCCGTCGCCGTTCTCGCAGCTCAACGAATCAGCGGATCGATGGAGATCCAGCGAAATTACTCGAATCTCTTATTTAATTTAATTTATAAAGAAGAAGTTCATATATATGTATACATATGTGCGCGTGCACGTAGCTAGGACACGTATGGATAATTTATTATTGTACGCGTTGCAGTCGGGGCTGCGAACAATACGAGACTCTCCCCGAGCTTGTAAATACTCGATCGATTGGTGGTGCGTGTTGTACTCTATTACACTTTGTTATTTTTTACTGTTTCTACACTGCCACCCCTCCACTCTCGTTCCTCCGCGCCCCTAACCTTCGACAGCGTCATCTTTGTATTTACCGATCGAGCATTAAACGAGAAAACAAAAAAGGAAAAGAACCGTGCCATCCGTCAGGGTGGCATCTCGATGATTACCTGCGCTCACCTGACTCGAAGGCAGAGTGTTTGCACGGCGAGCCAATAGAACGTGGGTGCCGATGCTTGCAAACACTGCTCCCAAGAGGCAGCTCAAACAGCGCCCACTCGCGGAACGCCCACGTTCTCACCTGTGACCAAACGAAATCATCCGCAAGATTTCTGACGAGTCTCTTTCGGCGGGACGATCGTTACGCTCCCTCGTCGACTAGCAAACGAAGGACAACTTCGTGTGCCTCTGGAGAAATAAGGAGATTAGGTTTCATCAATTTTTCAACCCCCACTTTGGAAATGTGGTAGCGGTTCTTTTCAATGAATTTTTAACAGCAACTTTGGATAGAACATTTTTGGTAGACCGTGTTTACGATTATTCTAGATTATTGAAGGGTCTGTAATGTTTCTAAGGGTGGCAGCGAATTTGTCTTCAATCCTTGTTTTAGGAAGATGCAGGTAATACTTCTTGATGAATTTTGAAAAATAATTCTGTATAGAACATTTTTCGAAGGATTTTCTCGAAACAGTTTTCTGTAGAAAATGATGGTAGACTGTGTCGAGGATCATTACAAGCGGGAAAAGTCTCTGTGAAGCTTCCAAGGGTGAGACGGAATATTTTGAGAACCCGCGAGGAGTTCTTTCAAGAGAATTCTTTAAAGAATAATTTTATACAGAGAAGAAAGCAAACTGTAGTAAGGCTCGTCGTACGAAAGAGAAATGTCTGTGAAGTTTCCAGGAAGGCGAGAGAATTTTATCTCGGTTTTTTCAACCCCTATTTCGAGACGCTCGAAGGCGTTTGTTCTGGAGAATTTTAAAGGAGTAATTTTACACGTAACTCTGCCAAGCTCTGCACGAGTTTAAAAATGAATTCGAATGTTCCAACCCATCTGAGAGTTTTTAAAATATTCTATAAAGAAATGTCAACTTTTAAAAATTGTTTAATCGGTAAATGATCCGAGTAACAATTACAGTCATAATCTACACCTAAATTATTATTTTATATCGAACCACTCCTAAAAATAGAAGCAAACTTTGCAACCCTTATCTTCGCCGCTCGTAAAGAAGCATGCAAATTTCTGGCTGTGAGAAGAACCTTAATATCCAACCCCTACCATGCATAATTTTTCACTCTCCTAAAAACAGGAATTGAAATGTTTTCAGTTTACCATGGCGAGATTGAAAAAGATTACCAAAGAAATGACACCTTTAATATTGTGTTTTTCAACAAGAGATCGAACCAAGGAATAGTAACAATCTACAAACCGAATAATTCTTATTCTTCGAAGAGATTTCCATAAGAATTGAGGCACATCTCGCAACCCCTATTTTGCCTCTCGCAAAGAAGCATCGATCCACGCGGAAAACGGCGTCGACCGAAATACTCTGGCCGAGCGTCGCTGTAAAATTTAACGGAAACGATAGGTTAATTTTTGCAACCCCTTCCTCACGTCCGAGGACATAATTAACGAGCATCGTCTCGTCGGATCGTTAATATCCCGTGGCAATTGCAGAACGTTCCGAGCGATCGGGCCGCCGCCAGTAGCATCTGCTCGATTTTTCTAAATCGAGCCGCGGAAGCGGAACGGTTTTCTAAAACTTTCTAACCCGCGCACGTCGAGCGTTAAACGATTCCACATAAAATTCGCGAGGCATTTTCGACGGTGCATTATTATTGCCGCGCGCCCGAGATCGGCCTTGAAACAGGAACGCCGACCGTCTGATCTACTTCTAATTGGAATTCGAGTGGACGTCGGATATACGTGGTCGTGGTGTTCCTGCACCGTTCGCGATCTGGACGTGACACTTCAATCTCGCCTTCGGTACTCAGTCCCGAGTTCGATCCGAACAAGTCCGAAGAGGCGTCTCGAACGAGGTTACCAAAAACTTCCTGTTCGCGAACGTTAACCCGCGGTGGACGCGAGTTAACTCGTCGGTCTCGCGCGGTCGTTTTTTCGCACGGCCGGTAATCAGCTCGTTGCGTTACGTCACTGGTTTTATTACCATCGAACTGGCCCATTTACGTTTATCACGACAAATTCCTGGTCGCTTTGATCTTATACGGCAGCAGTTCGGCCCTCGCGGTCACAAAAAGCAACCGGTTCAATGGACGGATTATAATAATAGTCGATGCTCGCGACCAAGAATCGTCGCGACGAACAGTGCAGACAAATGACAGAATTCCGGAGATAAATCAAAATTTGTATCGGTATTTCCTCACAGAAAATGAAATTTCAGAGAACTTCACAAGAAGGAAAATTAAAAATGTAATACGAAGAAAATAACAATATAAAATTAATAATGAGTACACTATTTATAAAACTAACAGTAATAAACTTGAAGAAATTATAATACATGGCTAGTGAATTTTGCCGATGTAGTACGCATTGTTTGACTAGGAAAATTGCGAAATAATTGCCGAGGACTATGAACAGCGGGGATCGCCGAACAAGGAAGACGTTCGCAGGATGTCAGCTGTTTTTCTCGTTGCACTGGAGGCCGTCGGAAGCGACGCGTTCTTTATTGGTAAAACGTAAAGGCGAGCATTAGCGCGAGCCCCCGCGGCGTTACTTTAATCATCCACACCTCTTTTGGTCACTCGATCGTGTATCAGCTGACCGACAGAGCGGAACAACGAGGAGCCAAAGCGTGCTGGACGACCGCTTCAGAACAGGTTGAACGGTTGCGACACGTCGCGTCTCGTCGCGCCGTGGAATTCGCCGGCGAGTAGCATCGACAGTCGTTTCCGCTCGATTTACCATGTGTGTGTCGCCGAACGTCGTTTCGCGAATAAATCATTTGCCGTATCTCTCCGGCGAGCGTTTTTACGGGTCTGAGAGACGACGTGTGACACTCTAGGGGGGAAAGTAGATAAATAATTGTCGGCTGTTAACATGCACTTGCAACGCGCACACTTCGAATGGAATAAAGTAAAAGCTGCGATAACGACTTCATAAAATATCTCGACTCGTCCTTTTCCAGCATTTCTGGTTCGAGAAGAGAGCAATGCGACATTCCTCGCATCTCAAATGGTATTAATTGAATAGCATTAAATATTGAAACGTTTGAAGATTGATATGTTCGAATATTTTAGAATTTATGTGGATGGTTAATTTGAATGCTCGACGTAAAAATTCTTGCATCCAGAAGTCTATGATTTTTCCGTATTTTCTTTTCTCTGGCGGCAAAACCTATTCTCCGCGATTTCTCTGCAATTAAAAATTCCTTCTTCCTAATCAGCACAGATGCTGACGAGCTAACAATAATAATGTGAACAGGTTAAAATCGACAGATGGTCTGACAGGCAGGTCTACATTCGTTCCTTTTACCGAAGAGCGGTTGCCAGCCACGGCTACAGTGAAGACACTCGAAAGCACTCGAACCTCCTGCTGCTCTGACTCGTTCCAAGTATCATCGATAGGCCGCGGAGCATTACTTTCCATCGAGGAATCGTCCATAATTTATAATACGTACAGTTCGATTGCACTCGAGCTCGTTGATAGGAAATTTCCCTAGTGAAACTGCGAATGTTCGTGGAAATGGTTGTGCGAAGAAAATGAGAGAGAATTTGCTCAGGGTTTTATCGTAATGAAAGTAACATATGAAACAGAGGCTTATCAAAACTTCTCTTTCACTGCATTCTGCGGGTCGAGAAATGCCCCGTGCGCATAAATGTTTCCGACTGCCTAATCCACAGTGCTTGAACCTCTCAAATAAACCACAATCCAGCAGACTTAGACCTAGGATGGGCGAAAATTACCGCATGGATTACTGTTCTCGGCAGATCGGGGCTGTTAGTGGTGAGGCTACACCTACTTCGGACCGTGAGTGACGAGGCCACGCCTGCACGCGACGCTATTTGCCCCGTGGGGCACTGCCGCTGGCTCCGGCTGTATCGAGAGCCAATAAACCACGCCCACGCGAGACGCTCTATAAGGACATAAGGAGAGATAAGAAGGGAACGAGATAGAAGAGACATTTAAAACTATCCTGGGGCAAAGAGCAGTTATTGTCCCGCCCGTTTCAGATGACAACTACTTCTAGTTATAAGCTATACTTCTACTTCTACTTCTCTTCCCGAGCTTCATCGTACGCACTATGGTTACCGTAACTGTTTCAACGGCCTATTAGGCAATGCAAATCGCTATGGTCTCATTCTTTACTATTTTCAAAGATCATAACGATCTTTCAGACACTCTACTCTTATTACGGCCACTGTCCACCATCCTACCACCTAATTTTTCTGATAATTTTCCATTCGTTATATTATAATCTTTTTCTTTTATTTCCTCTTTCGCAGCAAAGGGTTATACACGTATACTGGCAACCACTGTTATCATTGCCCGTAGCCGAGAATTCACACGTCAACGAATTTCAGCGATAGCAAAAAGACAGAATTGGGCGATCGGTTTGCCAGCTCGACCGGGCCTAAAAACCGCGATATTTTCTAGGCCAGACTATCTATCATTCGGTGAGAAAACGAGCGTTGTTCATCCATCGAACTTCCTTCCCCTCCCGCCTGCGCTGATCGTGAACGACACGCGCAGCAATTTCACTGGCGCATCGGTAATCGGCAAAAACAGGACGATCGACCTGATTATTTTGTTGTCGATCCGCCGATCGAGAAACGTGGTCCGACATCTGAACGATGATCCAACGCGTCCTCGAAACTGCCACCGACATCATCGTCGGTTTTATCCTCCTCTTTCTTGGTAGACGTCGATAGAAGACTTATATTACTTCCTCGAGCAGTATCGTCTATCCAACTTCTTGCTGAAATAACATCGCCTTCGCCAGAGCTGCTGTTCTGCGACTCGAAGCTACGCGATCACGCTTGTTTTTAGTCTTCGGTGCTGGT